TTGATTAATGAATTAATGAGTGAAAAAATGACTAGGTAGTCAGTGGCATCTTGGCTACAATGATATACTACACATCCTAGATATTGAAGTATTTATTATATATATTTTTTGGCTTGTTTGTTTGTTTTGTTTTGTTTTGTTTGAGACAGGGTCTCACTATGTAGTTGAGACTGACCTGGAACTCACTATATAGCCCAAGCTGGTCTCGAACTCACAGCGATCCTCCTGCCTCCGCCTCCTGAGTGCTGGGATTACAGGCATGTGCCACCACACCTGGCTGACATTGAAATATTTAGATCTTTTATGAAAGAATCTAATCTTATTTTTCTATGTAAGCTTGGCATAATAGGGCCTATCAGTAAGTTCCAGTTTAAATCTGTACTTTTTTCTTTATGTGCATTTATTTTCCAGGCTATGAGGCTTTGAGTTCTTTAGCAGAGGAGTACCATTTGTGGTGTGAGGGATAACTACTAATGATTTTTCATGACTGGGATTTATTAATTAGCCTGGAAAGTACTCCTTACATCTCTGCTTGATAATCTGAGGGCACAAGTTTTGTTTCCAAGTTCCCCCTCTCTGAGGGATGTTTACATTCATGAGGAAAGTATAGGCAGCTGGCTTTCCTTAGCCTTTGTTCCCAGATACTATCAATCAAGCAGAAATTGAAATATTTTCCATTATACTTGGATTAACAGAAATTTGTTAATTCCATGGACATTTCTCATAATCCAGAAATTATCCTTTACCGCAGATGGTTTTATTTTTACTAAAATATGAGTTTGAAACATCCAATTAAAGGATAGGGTTGATAACAGCGAGAACAATTTTTTAGATTATGCCCTAAAATTAGCTACAGTAGAGTTCACTTAACTTTGTTATCCATGTGGAGATCACTGGAATTCATGGTAATTTCCCCTCCCCAGGTTTAGTCATTGATGGTTAAAGCTGGAAGTCATCAGATGCAGTCCTTTCATTTTATTAAAAAAAGGATCATTGGGGCCGGGGATTTAGCTCAGTGGTGCTGCTGCCTGACTCCCGAGTGCAAGGACCCAAGTTCAATCCCCAGTACCAAACAAACAAACAAAAAAAACCATAATCATAAAAAAGGATTATATTTTATAAAATCAGAGAGATTTTTTCACTTGAGCAAAGTTGTTTTGATTTTTTCCAATGAGAACTTTAAAAAACAAAACAATTATTGAAAAGGATAACAAATATCAAAAGGACCCAAATGTTTTTTCAGCACTGGGGGTGACCCAGAGTCCCTGCACTGAACTACATCCCTAGTTATTTATTTTATTTTGAGGCAGAGTCTCACTAAATTTCTCCAGCTGTGCTTGAACGTGTGATCCTTCTGCTTCAGCCTCCCAGAGTGCTGTGATTGCTAGGGTGTACCACGACACCCGGGTAGGGTCCAATTTTTATTCTATTCCCCTCTTTATTTTCCCTATCTCCTTTCCTCCCTTGCTACAGGGAAAAACTAAAAAGAGCCAGAAAAAGAACGAAGGAGTGGAACAAAAATGGTGTACTGATTACTGGAAAGTGGAAAGCTGTGCACAGTCTAATTTTCACAAACCACACAAGCACATCAGCTCGTAGCACACTGCGGCTGCTCTTTGCCTGGCTTTTAGACCTAATGGTCATCAGGTGGTGAAAACTAGTCAGTTTTCCTTTCATAGCCCAGTGGGAAGGATATGGCACTTCCCCAGCAGGTCTGTCCTGCTTTCCTCTGGGCTGTCTGGGCACAGGGCAGAAAAAGCAAGCAGAGACAGCCTGGGCTGCTGAGGACCCTAGCCAAGGTCAATCTCCCTGCTCTAAGCAATGGGTTCCCTCAATCTCAAAAAGTATTTGTCATATAAAACTCTTAAGTCCCCATTTGGAACATGTGACCCAGCTTCAGAAAAGATGAGGGACTTTTATTAACCTTTCATTCATTCAACAAAAACTGAGAATTCATCCTAAACAGGAGGATGAGAAAGAGCCACCATACTCCACAAAGACTGATAACTGAGGACTTCTTGTCTCCAGAGGAGAGGGCCCTGTGGTGGCATAACAATCCACCTGTACCACTCTCCCCATACTTTAGACACAGGCACATCAGTTAGTTGACACAGATGTTAGTGAGTAAACTGTCAGTGACTGTTACCAAGTATTGTGTTTCAGTGTTACATCTCAAACACCAGATCATATAATAATTATTTCTATTAACTTCACAAAAGTCATCTTTTTCAGCCTGATGTAGGTGCTCTAAAAAGGGATGATTTGATAATGTAGTAACCCCCCCCACTAATTTAATTTCATTTTATCTCACTATCTCGGTAGCAAGGAGATGCTAGTCAAATTAGACAGTTAGGGTTTAGTAGCCTGGTGCTATCTTAATGTAAATTAAGAGTAAACACTTAAAACCAATAGAAAATATATAAACATTTTTTTAAAACTTGGGTAATTGAATCCTGGTTCAAAATGGTATTTAGAACTAGAATATAACACACTACCTGCTGCTCAGTTATCTATCATTATCTTTTGAACACTGTAATTGGATAAACAGGAAACGATTCATAATAATAAGTTTGTTCAAAATAATGTGTTTGCTGGAGTCTGGGGTGTGCACTGCCGTCACAGTGAACTGAAGGTAAATCCGCTGATTGCATCCTTCCCATTGTTGGTTCATCTCTCTTCAGCAGCGTACAGAGGCACAGTACACCTGGGCAGGCCAAAGCACTTGGCCAAAATGGCTGAAAAAGCAGTCATTCTCCTGCATTCCAGGAGAGCAACATAAATCTTATTTGCTGCAAGACGGAGCCGCCATTGAACCTAACCCATCCCCTGCCTGCTGGGCAGGCACATAGTTATGCTTAGCACAAAACTTGGGTGAATAATTTGCCTTCTGGAATTTCCATTAGATCTCACCACTTAGTTGCTCTATGTGTCTATTTTTCAATGATTCTTTGGTAGTTATGGTCCTTACATCACAGCTATCCAAACATTAGGTAGCACAGGACTTCTGCACACTAGGGCTCCTTCTGAGAGATTTAAATTGAAAGGCAACACAGGCCATTATTGGTGTCTATTTTCAGTTTTCATTATCAATAAAACAAGAGATCAGCATTTTCATGCTGTGTGAAACTTTTAGGAAATGCAACGTTGCTGTCATTATCTTTAGATGAGGCTGCCGCTGGCCCTACTAATGCAGACAGAATGATGAGCCCATCACAATAAAAAATAAAATAATGAATTGACCACAATCACCAAGAGAGCTGCTGACCAGGTCTGCTGCCTGGCTCCCTGAAATGTCCCTTTGAATTTAGAAGAGCCTGGCTAGCAAAGACCACAGATCATGACAGAACATAAATTGGTTTCATAATGAGATTAGTAGGCAGGCAGAATAGATGTCTTGCTGTTATATTGGAGGCAGGCTTTAATCTGCTGTTTTCCTTGGAAATGATCATTTCTTTTATAACAGGGGAACCATGATGCAACCTTAAATCCAACAGATTCTGTTTTGCCACAGAGCTCTTTTTCATCTTCCTCTGTCTTTTTAATAGCAGTTTGGGGGAGGCACATAAATAAGTGCAGAGTCTCAAAGATTATTACCAAAGTGAACTATGGAAACCTATGCTCATGATAATCAATCCTGTTCCCCAGACTCCCTTTTGAAAGCAAGTTCTGTGCAACTTCCTCTCCCCTGCCAAAGCTGGAGCCTGCCAGGGAGGAGGTGTTGTGACCCCCAGGGTCCTCTCACTTTAGTCTTAAGTGATCAAAGGGAGAATAGCTTTGCTATTGTATTTGGGGTGTATTTAAAGAAATCTTTACTGCAACTCTATTACTTAAAACCATTGGAAACAAGTATCCCATATTAAAGGGCCTTAGCAAAATGCCAGATCAGGTGAACCCACAAGGTCTCAGAGTAGAACAAAAGCCTCCAGTATGAATCTTGATTGCAAGGGACTTCCTTGGCTTGCAGCAGAAGGCAGTCTCACCTGGGAGTACAATAACCTCCTCTCATTAAAAATGCAAGATAGCATCTCCTTCTGGATCCTTTCTACAAAACCTGATGCAAGTTCATGGACTGTGCCATACTTGGTAGTGAATACATTTAATCAGATCCTTCTGTGAACTAATCTCAGAGTTTCCTGAGCTCTTTAAATCACCAAGCAAGTTAAGAGGTCCTTGCAAAAGGAATGGGAGACCAGACTCCAAATTTAGGAGTATTTGACACTTCAGCACAGAAGGCACAGACAATTTAATTTCTCTGCATTTCTTGGGGCCCACACTAAAGCATCTCTGAAATGGCAGATTAGGAGTAGGTCACTGACTAGCTTCTCAGTTCATGGCATTTCAACATATATATATTTTTTTTAGGCTAGGAAGAAACCACAGAAACCTTTTATATTTGCATATATGTTTTACAGTTTACATGATGGTTTACAAACATCATTTTATGTCATAAAGTAAGTCCTTTTTCATAGTTGGTGCTTCTATCTAAAATTGGGATCCACTTTAAGAAGAAATTATTATTTGGGCCAATTTAATAAGTTTTTCTCCTTTAACTTTCCACTTCTCAATAGCTATGTCAATACTTGTGTATTTTCTATGTATCTAATTTGCAAATGTCAAAAAATTTAAAGTCAATTCTTCTCTTAATATTTTCTGTGTTCTCTGATAACTTCTGCCTCACCAGATGAAATAGTTCAAGAGGAGACAGACTAATTTTCCTCTAGGTAGGTGGTCCTGTGTTTATTGGTATTCTCTTCCAATTTACCCTGTTCATTTCCATAATAACTCTTTCTTCTTTGTCCCACATCTGCCCCCACTGTCTACTGCAGCTCCACCATTATAATTTAAATTACTAGCAGTAAATGAATTCACTTTGCCAAGTGCCCTGTACATTTGGTATGTGTTAATGATTATCTAATGGCTTTCTTGTGTGTTGAACTCATCAAGTTAAAGTTTCATGACATAATCTCCCTGAAGGAATTTTCCGGATTATGTTTACTTACCTCATATAATGGTACTTGTTCTTGGGTTACAGCAAAGATCAGTAACACATTGTTTTGCACCAATTTATCAATGAGTTGTCCAATTGTTGGGTATTCCTAAAATTAATACATAGACTTTTTAAGTATCACCTTATTAAAATAATTTGCATAAGGAAAAGAATGTTTATTTTGAAGACATTTTACTGAGCTGAGCATTTCAAAGTTCACAAGTATTATTATATCCATTACTCTGGGCAAACAAGGATACAATTAGCACTACTCACTTAGTTGGTTCAGTAATTATTTTCCAAATCCAATAAATTCAGTTTTGTCCTAAGAGTCAGTTTCTGCCAGTGTGTTGCCCCATGGTTACTCACTTTGAAGCAGATAACTTGCTGTTTACATAAAGGCTTATACTTTGGTCATATTTTCAAGGATGGAGAAGTATTTCTTTTAATATGCACTCACTGGAGGCAGGAAGGTTAAAACCGAGGGAGGACATTTAGACAATGATGTATGTGATTGAGGCGGCCCTTGCAGCTCTGAAATTTTTATTGGACTTGAATGAGGTCCCATTAAGGCTGAGGAGGGGACAGAATGACACACTGCTAAGGAATGACACACTACAATTCTATGCCTGTTTGAGAATTTCTTGGGATTGGTTTTACTGCCTATTCAGTGTCATAAGCTAGTTGAGTGGGACCCTATTTTCACAGGACAATTGAAAACTTGCTGCACTTCCAGCCCATTGACACACGCATTCCCATGTAATACAGTACTTGAAAGCAAGGAAGTCATTGACTATCAAATTTGAATATGAACTTTACTTTCCAAGTCTGGGAAAACCTAAAATTTGCTTCCCTATCCTGTGAATCCAGTTGTGGATGATACACAAAGAGGAAAGTCAAATGAGGGAGTCGCCTGCATCTGATTAAAGTAAGAATGTGTCGATTATAGCTGCTGTCGGCCCAAATGGAGGAACACTGCTAAACGGCCTGAAAATGGGACGTGTTCTCACATTCTCAATGATGCTGGGGTATTTTTATCTAAAGTCTTCCTTAGGCACAAAGTTCAAATTGAGGGAAAAAGTATACTTTTGTGTTGAATACTCAGGTAAATTTCCCAACTGCAAATCTGGCTGTATATATACTTTCGATCAAATTTGGATTTGTATTAGTACAGATAACAGATAATATAATTTTTTTCTGAGTCTAATGCATTCAGTTTCTTCTGCTTTTCAACCCTCCAAAGTTTAAGTGTCTTTCAACCTCGAGCCTAAGTCCTGCCATCTCCACACCTTCCCATACCTTTCAACTACTGGGCACATGGAGCCAGGATCATACCACAGATCCCACAGAAGATGCAGTTTTCTCTATGAATAAGATCTATTGGTTTAATCTCCACAACTATATTACAGGTTCAAGGCCAGAAACCACATCCTATTATTTTGTGGCCCCAGAAATCTGGCCCAGTTCTGAGTACACAGGAAATGCTCTAAGGACCCAGGGGGCATGGAAATGGTCCAGGGCTTCTGTACAAGTAGCAAGAATAAGCTGAAATTTTATTAGGCAATAGGTAGTATTTGCTTTTATGATCTTCCTATTTTCAAAATATGTATTATGGGGCATTTGAAAAATTGCAAGAAAAAGATAACGAAAAAGTTTCAATTTCTCAGTTTCTTGTCCCCTGTTGACAAAAGAAAACAAAAAAAACAAAATGTGCTCATTCTCACTGCTGTTATGATATGAAATGGCAGATTATGTGATTAAAGAATATATATATTTGGGAAGTGCAGGTCCAAAGTTACGGGAAAACATTCAAGTTAAAGTTTAGAAATTTAGGTCAAGGAATGGTACTAATGTAAACATTTCATTTATAGAAAGCACTCTTTCCAGTTGATAAATTTTTGGAACCATATTTTCTCTTGCGTTGAATGGGTACGTGTGATCAGGTTGCTGCTTCGTAATTCACAGTGTTTCACATATAGTCAACATCTACTGTGTTCCAGGCTCTGTGCTGTCAAGAAATAGAGATAAAAACAGAACCACCCCTAGTCCTAGGACTATGCAATAAAAACAGAAATAAGCAAACACAATTTTATCTAGAGATCTAAGAAGATATCTATGTATAAGGGTAAAGGAAGAGGCAATGGTTTCAGGGCCTAATGGAAGTCAGAGGTCCTTTGAGGACAGCGGTGATTGAGCGGGGTGTTTTTTGGTCTTGTTTTGTTTTCAGATATACTCCCCAATTCAATCTAGGCTGCCATAGAGACAGAAAGAGCAGGGGTTATTTCCTTTAGCATCCTAGTGCAGACCAAAACAACAACAAATGAGCTGGATATTAAAGGATAATCAGGAGTTTCTCAACAAACTAGGAGAAAGGGGACTTGAAGAAGAGGGAATAACATAGACAAACAGAGCAGCCATATGATCTGGATACATAGGGTTCTGCTGCTGAGCCTGTATGTCAAAAGAGCTCTGCAAATGTCACATCGTTTCACAAAAGTCAAGTGTTTTATTTTTCAGCATCACCAGCATTTTTTAAATGACAGAAAATAAGATAAATGTTAGTAAGGATCAACCAAGCATTATCTGACTAGTTGTTTCCCAGGGAGTCCCATAGCTTATGTAAATATGGCAAAATTTATGGACAACTATTTCTAACAACTTCCATTTGGTACTGTACTAGTCTGGGCCTGCCTTTCTGAGCTGTGTTTTGGAACAGAAAGAGTTACCAAGGCTGTTGTTTTACTTGCCCCAGGGTCTTCAACGGTTGGGGGACTCTAGGATAACATGTACCATTACAGATCCAAACTACTTCTATGTCCCTACCACTCATCTGTGCTCCAGAGCAAGCTCTAATGATAGTGAGGATTCAAAGGGGCAGTTTATTCATCTCCAATCAGAAAATGTGTATTGCTTTCATCAAGCATGAGTTATTTCATGTTGTGTTATGGCAACTGTTGCTTCATTTGCCTACTTGTGGCCCAGAAAGCGGTGCAGGGTACAGGGTACGTACCATGACAGTTGACATGGAGTATTCATTCTTGTTGTCCAAGTGACAGAGCCCATCGTTGGGAATGACAATACCTGCCAGTTTGCTGTCCATTCCAAAATGCGAATCGGCGTCACTCACAAATACCAAGAGATGGAGTGAATCATTCCTCCAGCCAATTTTTTCCTGGAGTAAGAAAGGAACATCAGATTTCATTGGGGAGAGCTGGGCACATAGAAGTGTGGATGAGCTCTGCTTAGACGCATCCAGATTATGAACAACACACTGCCGATCTATTTTAACCTCCTTCATCTATTGGGACTTGATACTATGAACATGAAATTCTGTGGCATTTGCTTTTTCCTCAATAACATTTTTGGATGATTTATGTTTCAGGGAAAAAAATACCTCCACTACAATCAGTATTCATTGATTTTTACATAATTAATTATTTTTACTGCCCAGCTTTTAATTCACCAGAAAAATGAGAAAAGAATAATGAAGGTCAGAGAGAATCCCAAATCTAAGTTGAAACACAATCAGTCAAAATGTAACCTAAAATGAATGAAAAGTAAGCCTGTTTCATTAAACGGTCATCTAACATGTAGACACACATTTTTCTTTCTAGTTATGTAATCCTAGTGATATAACCCACAATTTTAGTGATATAATCCAAAAGATCAAGGACAACCCTGAGGTCCTACTGATGTTGATTGTTCACAGTCTGCACTTTAGCGGAGCTCTTCCCTTTAATATTCCCTGTTATAATATTCCCTTTAATATTCAAGAATCACTTAAACAAAGCACTCATCTTGACTGTTCCGACCTTCCTTATGCTTTCCCTTCACCTCTAATTCTTTGGCCCTGCCACCTTTGAGGAGCTTTAGCCTTGCCCATTTCCTGATATTTCCAAAAGAAAGTTATTGTCTAAAGATGGTGGACTCATTCTCATGATTATCTGTTAAATAGTTAAAGGCGGACAGGGTTCCAACACTGTCATAGAGACAGTATGACTTCTGATGCTTATTTTGTTGTTTTTCAAAATAATAGGTATGTATTTGTCAGTATAGCTATGTACTGATTCAGGGCATTTTTATTTTATCTTTACATTTTTTGTGTGTCGTGTTAGGGATTAAACCCAGGGTCTTCTCATTGAAGCACATCCCAGTCCTTTAAACATTTTTCTTTTAAATTTTGAGATAGGGTCTCTCACTATGTCACTAAAATAAATTTCCCAGACTGAGCTGGAACTTCTAATCCTCCTGCCTGTCTGTGCTCAGATCACAGGCATCCTGCCACTGTGCTCACTTTACTTTTTTATTAATGTTCTGCCTTTGATATTTTTTCACCATAGTTAATCCAAAACCAAATTAATATGATCTTGATCTGTGAAAATTAGTCACTTTTTTCAACGGTACTAATGTTCTTTTACTTTATTTGAATACTAGTCATATAAAAGAGTCCCTATTTCAATATGATTGAATTAAAATTTTTTATAGAAATTTTGTGTTTTAAAATAGTATCAATCCGGGGATTTAGCTCAGCGGTTCGGTGGCCTGCCTTGCAAGCACAAGGACCCAAGTTCAATCCCCAGTACCAAAAAAAAAAAAAGTGTCAAAATATGATGATTATAGGAAAGAAAGTTATTTAAGCTTTCTAAAGCAGATTTCTTAATAAGAGATGAATTTATGTTATCAGAATAAAACCTTGCTCCCCTCAGCATACCTTACACACAGCAGCTTGCATAATTGCATCAAATCCACCTTCAGGTGTGTCAATATTAGCAGAGATTTTCTGATTTTTCACAATTTCATTGAATCTTTCAGCATCACTTGTCAATGGCAGAATGTGCTTGAATCCAAATGTAGGTAAGCAGGAGTATGGAATACTACTGCAAAAGTAAGATATAAAAATATTCTTAAAATATGATGCAACACACAAATAGCCTAGCAACATTTTAAAAAATGAGGATTCATTTTTTCCAAAGGACTTGGATTCTGGAACTTGGCTGTAAATCTCACAGTTAAGGTTGCTGTCAACGTGTTCTGCCCATCCCTTCCATGTTGACAATCTAACTGATACTTATTTAGACTTAGCATATGTCTTATTGGCTCAAACTCAGATAAAAGAAAATCAGGTGCTCAGATTCCACATTCCAATGCCTACAATCATGACCTTCTACTGCTTCCCAAACAAAACCCAGCTTTACGTTTACATGATGACAGTTTCTTTGTATTCTGGTATCTTAAGCTGTTGCCAACTATCAGTTATTTCACTTCAAGGCAGAGAGGAACTAGTCTTCCTTCTCTGCTCCCTGCTGTACTCCTATCTCTGCCTGCCATAGGCCCAGAAGTCACAGAATTACTCTTGGTTCTAGCATACAACTCTACCATGACTGAATAGAAAGTTGGGGAACAGCCTGGGAACAAAGCTACCCCTTAAAATATCATGTTAGGATAAAATCTGCCCCAAAGGTAATACAGTTGAAGCAAAAAAAGCTGACCCATAAATTTAGCCATATCTTATTCTAAAAGTCAGTTACTAGCTCTATGTGAATCTTTTGACAAGTTACTCAGCCCTTCTTAGCTTTGAGTTTTCATTTGTAAAGTGAGGATACTAGCTAGCATAGAGCAGATGTTCTCAAGATAGGGTCCCTAGTCTCATAGCATGAGCATCATGTGAGAAATTGTTAGAAGTATAAATACCGTACACCTACTGACTTACGTATATTATTGGGGAATATTATTTTTAATTTTCATTTTATTACTAATATGACCAAGCTCTTATCTATATTTATTGACATTTGGCATTTATTCTTTTGTCAAATTTCCAGCTTATTCACTTTGCTTATTTTATTATGGGGGTATTTTTACTTCTAATTAAATTATAAGAACTCTTACAAATACTGATTTGTCTTTGTAGTTCATCTTCTAAATTTCTGATTTTTATATATA